GGACTGTTTTTGGGCGCCATTTTCCAGCTGGTGTGCATAGGAGCTGTTATATTTGTGCCGAGTAGAGATGACAAGAGGGTAGGTATCACGAGAGAGGAGGAATGATGTGTTTTTCTATAAAGGCTCCTTTCTTTTCGATTTTTGGAGGGGGTGGTCTTCAAATATCCCTTTTTCTTTTATTGTTATTGGGGTATTTTGGGGGAATTTGATTTATTATTTGGGTTAAATGTGTTATGGGGAAGGTTTTAAGGTTTTATATATTGTTGGAAAAATAATGTGTTCCTCTGTATTGTCATCCTCATTTTTGACATTCTTTTCAGTATTAAAATGTTTCCTCCTCAGATATGAAAGGGTTAGAATGTTTTACGTTATGTAGAAGTAAGAGGCAGTCATCCAGATTGAGCCTGGATGAAGCCACAGAAAAATAACCCTTTCTGCCATACAAGGAAAGAAAAAAAATCCCATGCAACGGTATGAATTTATCTGCACAAGAGAACCATACTGTTACAGTCAGATGTTAACCTAGTGATGCTGTATGGCATGGATACACACGATGGCCAGGTGGACCTAAATGCTTGAATGGTACCAGTTGGAATCATGACATTGGAAACTATTGCGGGTTCCATGATCTATATTAACATTCGCGGATTTCATCTCTACAGTGTATAGGTGTGGAGTTTCATGACTTCAGTGACACTAGGTCATTTGAGCATAAGCCTTTCATTGTTCATCTTAATCTTTCAGTGCTTTTATTGGAGAGCAGTCACTGGCATGTATAGGAGACAACTAAAAGGAAATACTATCTCAGCACGCAAAATTGTGGAAGTGTCTATGGGTACGGCAGAAAAGCCCCCCATTGATATCCTACGCATGCATGATGAAACAACATGATGGTGGAATCTCGACAAAAGATGATACCACTCTCATTTAGATTAGGTTAGGTTATATTAGGTTCGTAATTAGTATCCGGATATAACCTTTATATGCTTATATGCATATGTGTGCCTAACTTTAACACTGGCCTAAAATTTTGTCTCGTTTGTTGAACCCTAGTTCCTTTAGGTTAAGAAAAATACTTCGAGAAGAACTGTATAGAAATACTGAAAAAGAACTATAGAAATGATTACTTAGAGCTTGTAATACAACATAAGTAGATACAATTTTCATTTGTGCTAAATTATAGGCTTTTACATTATTACATTAAATGATACTCAGACATCTACACGTTGCATTGTGGAACATGACTTGTAAAAGACCAGTTTTCAAGTACTGAATTCATGCAGTCAAAAATTAATAGCAAAGTAGTTATTAAGAAAGCATCAAAGTACATTTGCATTCCTGAACAAAATAAACCTAACGTTTCTTGTCTTTGATAAGTTTTACTATGACTTAAAATGTATGAATGAAAAGAAAATGTTTTACTGTTACTTGAAATGTATGAATGAAAAGAAAATGTTTTACTGTGACTTGAAATGTATGAATGAAAAAAAATGAAAGCATATATGTTCCAAATCTTAGGATAGTATTTAAAATATTTCTTCTTGATAACTATACAGACATACTGGATTCAGTGTATTTCATGATTTTGTCATCTAGATCTTGGATCTGAGTGCATTTATTCAAGTGTTATTTATTGTTCCCATAAGGTCAAGCATCTTTTTATGTATGGAAATTCATCCCCGTGACAATGTAGTTAAAGAGTAAATTGATTAAGTATCATTATTAGTTATAAAGTAAGGAAGTTATATGTTTTTAGTCAATGCGTCTATATCATTGATCAATTTCAAATGAAGAAACAGGAAATGTTATTACATGATAGTTTCATACATGACTGAAATTTCATCCCTCGCAAATGGAGTATCTTAACACAGCGAGTTCCAGACCATTTGCTTTGCTTTACGGGTAACTCCAGATTGCATGAGGAAGTGGTTAGTGAATGTAAGCAAGTCTTTAAAGCTGTAAGAACATGCCTGTTCACATCTGGAAGGGCAATTTGTCAATTATATGTCAAATGTACCAAAGACGGATAGGCTTTAAGCCTATTGCATAGGCTAAAGCCTGCTTGGTTGTAGAAATGAAATGAGAATATTTAGGTGGAAAATGGTTTAGAAATTAATGGCAGTATAACATTTATTTGTAACCCAATGCCACCAGGAAGATTTTTTGTTCACTTTAGTTTTGTTATGTTAAATATATCTGCACATAGATGGCTCTGCCAGTGCTTAGCCACAAAGGAGTCAATCAGTAGATCTGGTAACCTCATCTTTCCTCAAATTGGTGGGAAATTTGCTTTTTTGTACTAATGTTATCAATATTGATACCATTATTTTTATTATAAACACTGTGATTACTATATTGTAATTGCTATTACTAATACCAGTATCAAATACTAGAAAATATTATTGAAAATCAAGGAAGAGGTTGAACAGGTGACACAGGTACTTCTTGTAAATGGCTAATTGGTAACCTAGTACTTGTGGAGCCATCTATTTGTAAAAATGGTTACTAAATTAAACACAAAGTGGGTATAGCACATACGCACATGCCATCCCTGTTGGCGTGTGGTTAAAATGAAATTTGTATTTCCAACTCAGCTTTGTAGAAACCAATCAGAGGGCTGACATTTTCAGTTTGAATTGATATAGTAAACTATCGAGAGAGGTTGATTAAATTGTAAAATATTGATATCAGTTAATAATAGTATAAACGTATTCTTATTGTATATACTGTAATTTATATAGATTGATACATATAGATATACTATATATATATATAAATTGAATATATAGAATTATAAATAAATTATTATATTTATTTATAATACATACCTATATATATATATATATATATATATATATATATATATATATATATATATATATATATATTATATATATATATATATTATATATATATATATATATATATATATATATATATATATATATATATATATATATATATATATTATATATATATTATATATATATATATATATATATATATATATATATATATATATATATATATATATATATATATATATATATATATATATGTATATATATATATATATATATATATATTATATATATATATATATAATTTATTTATTTATTTATTTATGTATAATACATATATATTATATATAATATATTATATATATATATATTATATATTATATATTATATATAAATAAATAGATCGAGGACGATTCCGAAACTGTTGTCTCACTTTCATCAATAAATCTAGTTTGTGCATTGTGGGTTTTTCTTATATATATATGTATAATTATATATATTATATATATATATATATATATATTATATATATATATATATATATATATATATAAATATATATATATATATATTATATATATATATATATATATATATATATATATATATATATATATGTATATATATATATATATATATATATATATATATATAATATATATATATATATATATTCATATTTATATTTGTAAGTATATTTTCACATATATTTGATATTATTCTATATCTTTTTCTTTCTGCAATTTTGCTTAATTTGAAGCTTTCTTAAATGAAAGGGACTGAAAGGAAAATAATTTTAAAGAAAATTCCTACATTTATTAATGACATATACTGATTTCAGGATGGAGACTCAAGTGACGATGACGGTTCTGATCACGGCTCCCCACACACGTCCCCCCCTCATCGCGGTCACAACCAGCACCACCGACGCAAGCAAGACAAGAAGAAGAGACGGTGAATTCAGCAAGAAAGGCTTCGGGAAGAATAACTTATGTTTGACGGAATAGTGTTTACTCTCGGACCTTATTGAATCTTAAAGGGTTTATGATTATTATCATTATTTTTTTTCTTTCTTTCTTTTTTTGAGTGGGGGATTACTACTTGCTATGCTGAAAATGGGTTGTGTCAATTTTGGTATACTGATACGATATGTATGAAAATGTGTTTTATCCAAGTGAGTGCTTGCTTTCTGATCCGAAGGGAACATATGAAATAGTATGAAGTTCGAGATTTAAAGGCAGCTATTGAAATTTACCTGAGTCCGTTTTAGCACAGGATGAATTGTATGCTTGTACAGATAAAGAGTATGTTATCTGAAAATAGATTAGCATGAGCATGTGGAGAGATATGTCGATAGTCGTCTACTTTATGATTGTCAAGGAAAAAAAAAGAATTGGGCATTTTAATTTTTCTTTTAAATTTTTACTTTTTTCTTTATAAATCATGCATACAATATACATTCCTTAAACTGTAGGTCACATTTAATTATAAATTATTTTGTATCTATTTTCCACAGTGGTCTATGATCATACTAACAGCCAAAAGCATTCTTAGAGAAATGCATTGAATATATACAATTCCTGCATAAAGCTAATGCTCAAAAACTGAGTATATATTAGGTCTTCGGGCATATGGCTTCCAGGAGACATCTGCCATTGCATTTTTATATGCAAGTGAAATACTCTTGTGCTGCATTTTCCAAAAATGCGGTGTTGTAGAATTAGTTTTTTTTTTCTGTCTAACAGTTATTTTTAAGTTTCTTTTTTGTTAGAGTAGCAGGCCTACTTAATATGATACTGCAAAGAATCCCCTACACGATGAAGCTTTTGTAAGATTTTACACTTGAGAACCACCCTGTTCGAGGGTATGGCGGTGCTTTTGCGGGAATTTGGTGTTGGGAATACCACCCCTATCTGAGAGAATAATGCCCTTTCTAACATCACCCATGGTTTAATTTTCAGATCCCGCAGGACAAGTATAGACCTACTTGTATTAACTTATAAGATTCATGGGCTTACTCTACTGTGATTTCAGATCTGAATAGATGTATCTTTATGTTGAATGTTAGCATTTGATTTTATTTATGTATTTTATGTAGTTTGGTTGTTTGTGTATATTTAACATGCGATCAGGTTGGAAATTAAACCTAGAATTTTCAATGGAGTTTTGATTAGGAATTTTATATCTTTTCTAATTAGATTTCTTAAGTTTTAGTTGATCTGAATTATAAGTCTGATCTTGAGAAGTTTATTCAAACATGAAGGAATTGAATCTTGTTGGTGGTTTCGCTGCAGTTCTGTCTTTGCTGGAAAATGTAGTTAGATTTTTGTTTGTTTGTAACATTCCAAACAGCTGTGCAATACTACTTCAATGTCTTTTTGCATTTTTAAAATAAAATGAACCAATTGCACATATATTTATTAAAGAAAATCCTTTTGACAGTAAGTTATTGTTATCACACTTTAACTATTAATTTTCTTGCAACTGAATTTGAGAAAATCATTGCACTGCAGAATTCCATATATTTTGTCACTATGATGTACAATGCATTTGTAGTTTTTATTTACAAATTAAATAAAAAGTAAGCCAAACACATTAAATGCCTCTTTGCAGTAATTTTAATTAATGTTTAAAATATGTTGCCAACACCCAAAGGTAGCTAAGACAGTGCATTTCCATTTTCTGTACATTCTTCCCTGTATCATAGGAAATACTTTGCTCGCTTGTCCTTTTAGTGCTATATGCCTGTGGTGTCTAGCACATTTAACCATTGACCATTAAACAGTGGCAGGAATTTCTGGTGTTATAAATATTCTACATAGTATTCCCGAGTAGACTATATGCTGAAATGGAATCAGTGGAATAGAACTAGCATGGTAACTGTATTTTTATTTAAAAATTCTGTCACTTATTCAACATTCATGTCAGTTTTTTGCATAAGATTGCTTTAATCACTAAGTCTTTCTTTAAGTAAATGGAAGTTTGTTGTAGTTATTTACTCAGTGAAATTTCAAAATTATTATATATATATATATTTTTTAAAGAAAATGAAATGTAGCAACTAATTTAGATACCGAAGTGATGCTCAATTTTGAGAAATCAAAATTACGCTGGAAACCATAATGAGGGTTTGCATTTATTTCCTCGCAGAGATGTAACATGGCACATTGATGACAAGAAATAACACAGCAGAGTCATTTCATACAATGTATTTATATCAGACTCAAACACACACATCATTCTTAATTATCAATCAAATTACAAATATATTTTAATTTAAAATACAAAATGAGATACCGTACATGTTTTCATGAAATACTATGACGTAATAATGCCGCCTTCTGTACATAATGCAATGACATTGTTACTGTAATCATGTCAGCTTTTTGAGTGAGTAAAACAAAATTGGACAGTACTACAATAAGGGTTAATGCCAGCTTCATTCACAGTATTGTCCATTTATTGATATGATTTAAGGATATGACTTTGGACGGTGATTTCGTTACTCTCTTAGAGAACTGAGGTAGAACAGAGAACACCTGATCTATGCTAAAGAAAAACCTAGTGATGTATGTAGTGGCTGTTAAAAGTGGTTAGTCTCTGGTTGCTGTGTTCTCTTCATGACATCTCCACTTAGTGCCTATGGCCACAGTGATGAAAAAATATAGTAATGGTTTAATCTCTTGAGATCCATTCATGAAGATACCTCGTGACATCGAGGGAATCTTCACCCTACTGTACGTCTTGATGTGTTATCCCTAAACTTCTTTAAGACAAGTTCGATCCAAAAGCGATGAGGCTGGACTTGAGTGTAGGCAATAGGGATGGGGAGGCGAGCATTGGCTACGCCCGCAACTCCCACCAACTGCACTCTCCCTGTGGTTGCACTCTCTCGCAGCACCACCGATTTCCCGACCTGTAAAAGTACGATTTGGTTTTTGAAGATGGTGGGTCGTCTCTTTTAGTGGTGGTGATGTTTGGCGACACTTGAGAGACTTGTTGGTTGTAAGAATACGGTAAGATGTTCAGATTCAGAAATGGATATAATCGGTGTATGGACACACACGAACACACACACACACACACACACACACACACACCACACACACACACACACACACACACACACACACACACACATGTAATTTACATTCGCACACCCTCCCCCTCCAAAAAAAAAACCTAATAAATAGATAAAAAAAAAGAAAAGAAAAAAAAAGAAAAAAGAAAAGAAAGAAAGAAAGAAAGAAAAAATATATATATAAATAAAAATACAAACCTCTTCATACAACTTGTTCACGCAGACATGATTCTCTGTAATAACCGAAAACAAATTGGATATCTGGTTAGGGAATCTCGCGTTGTAAGCTTTGATCAGGCTCTGACAGCCAGCGGGCCGAAAGTAGAGGAATTTCTCTGAACGTTGAAGGTCGCTATTCGTCCCAGAGAAGCTGTGAGGGAAAGAGACGAGGTTAGTATGTAATAATGAAACAAAGCAATGAATGTGCTTGACGAAGAGACATGGTGAGTTACGTGGGGTTTACGTTGACGGAGAGTGGGTAAAGGGGAATGGAGGGAAGGTGAAGAAGTAGGGAAGAATGGAGGGAGGTAGGGAAAGATGGAAAGGGAGGGGGATGGGGGAGAGGGTAAGGTAAGGAGGGAGGGAAAGAGAGGGGAATGGTGGGAGGTAGAGAGAGAG